GAGGTATTCGGCCAATCATAACGCACTGGATAGCTGGCCAATCACAGCACACCTCACTTTTTTAGAACGATGAGCTTTGTAAAAACCGACGTGTTTCAGAAAGGCGGGGCATAGAGGAGAAACAATAATGTACAGTATGTGGAAAATAATGTGTTTTTTGAACCTTAAACCGCATAAACACATTTCATTACATCAAATACACAAAATAATGTTCTTTTTAGCAGCATCATATGACCCCTTTAAGGAATTCTTCACACTAAGGAAAATTTGTTCACTGAAAGGTTCTTTGGGGAACCCAAAATGGTTCTTCTATGGTAGTGGTGTCCAAACCAAACCTGTTCCTGTCCTGTGGGAGTTTAGCTTCAACCCTAATAAAACACTCCTGAACCAAAATAATCAATGTCTTGAGACTCACTAGAAACTTCCAGGCAAGTGTGTTGGAGCTGGTTGGAACTAAACTCTTGGCCCTCCAGGAGCAGGATTGGACACCCCTCTTCTATGGCATTGCTGTGAAAACCACATTTTGGAACTTTTATTTTTAAGTGCACTTAATATCTAATTTAACCAAATTAATGATGTTACTACATCTGATTATGTGCCATCCTGTATGAGAAACTTTAAAATACCTGTAGAGGAGAAAAAAAAAGTTCCTGGATGACTGCTGAGGTCTTTGGGAATGGATGATGTTTGGATGGGCTGTGTTGACTTTTTCCCCCATGCTTTTTATGCCATATTTTGTGTGACATAATGTCAGTTCAGTGGCTTATATTGTTTCTCGTCCCATTTTTGACCACCAGAGGATCAAGGAAAGACATTTAAGGTGCTGGTAGAAGAACCAGTATCTGCAGAGAATGGAGACCTGGACACTAGACCACAGTGTTCCTCTGCCGGTATGGAGGAGGAGGCAGGACTGTTCCTGGCTTCATACCTGACAGATATTCAGGGTTTTCAGCCACGGCAGGCTGTATGCGGCCATTATGCTTGTAAAGGAACTTGTTATTGCAGATCACTGAAGAGTCTTGGGAGTTTTGAGGGGTAACCTTGGGTGGGAGGCTGTGCTGCCAATACTCGGGATTGTCAAAGCTATTCTTGTACATCTTGTCCACTTGCACTGGGTGACCCGGTAGGCCCGTTGTGCCACCTTTACTGGACTTTGCCAAGTGAAACTGTTGGGGCGAATGATTAGATTTGCTTGGGTGCCCTGGTTGATGGCTCACTAGGCAGATCTGGCCTGCTGGTGCTGGAGGGCCGTGATCATGCACCGACTGAACTGAATGAGTATGTTGATCAGGGTGTACAGGCTGAACTGGTGGTATGGCGAAGTGAACGTGCGGTCCATGGCTGTGATGATGGGGTTTACCCATTTGTGTGATGTGGGGAACGTTGGTGTCTGGAGTGTAGGCCGCTGTGGTCACCTGCAATGGGATAGAAATTCCATTTTTCCTTAACATCTCCTGGTTCATGTCGCTGGTGTTGTTGAATGTGTTGAGGTAAAGGGGGTCACTGATATATTCATCTTCACACTTGGGCTTTCCATCAGGGGCGCTGTGGTAACCCTGGTTGTCTAGAGCATGAAGGTCTTTATTTTTATGCCTTGTTACAAAAGGGTTCTCCTCAACGGGATTCAGATGATCTGCAGAGATGACAGACAATGGCATGGGTAAAACAATGTAGACATACTTTTTTATCCATGACTCTTCATTTAAGAAAGTATATGGAATTGCTAAAAGGTGAAATCATTTCAAAGATATATAGGCAAGTATACTGTATACTATTTGTTTCTTCAGATGTAAAGTAATGAGTAAAATAATATATTAGACAGTGGAAACACTCACTTAGTGCACCTTCACTGTCATTTCATGACTTTTCAATGGAGATTCTTTCTTCAGTGAAACATCGTTAATTCTTAATAATACATTGTTAATTGATAATAATATCTTGGCCACTTTTCTTAAATATAATTAAAGTAATTGAGGACCTAGATTGAGGAGCTGTCCAGCTCTAAAAAGCAAAAAAAAATAAAAATAAAAATAAATAAAAATCATAAAAGTGGTCCATACAACCTAAGTGCTATATATTCCAAGTTTTCTGAACTGATCCAGTCTGAACTGATCTAAAAAGACATATAAATATTGGATATGATTAAATTAATACTCAAAACCTCCCCAGTTATTGTAATTGCATAAATTACCAATACATTCTTTAAAATGTCTCCTCGTTTCACAGGAGAAAGAATCTCATACATGTTTGGAACGACATGAGAGTGAGTGAACAATGACAGTGTATAATAAATGATTTGTGAGCATACTTGTGGAGATCTTGTCCTTCATAGGGGACATATAACCATCCTCATCTGTATCTTCCCTCTGTCCTTTCTCTCCCAGTGGGACAGTTGGGTCTGCGCTGTAACGCTGGCCGTTGCTGTCCTCTACTGAGTGAGCTGTGGGCTGTTTCCACAAGCTTCCATTACAGTGTTTCTCGTCTACTGGGTCCAGACCTGATCTTTGCATACCTGCCAGGACCAAGGGGCCACTTCCTGTAGCACCTGCCTCATGAGGTCGGGACCCTGTTACATCTTCGGGGCACAAACTTCCATCATGATACCCAAACTGGTTCTGATCACAGGAGGAACAGAAAATTAACTTGGGAAAATAAGATAATTTAAATATAAAAAAATAGGGGGTGGGGGGTTGGATGGGGTTAGAGATGTTCACAGAAAAACATCCAGAACAACCTAACAACCTGTTTATTTATATATATATAGTAGGTGTGAGACAACTAGTGAAAACATCATAACGTTTCTTTGCTCTTCTTGATTTTCAGTGTGACCTTAGAGTTTTGGACCCCACTGTATTGACCATATATTCAGTATTTTGGATTGGGCACTTGGGAAAAATAATTACACTTTCTACACTACATAGTAATCCTCAAGTTTAAAGGGGTAAAGTTTAATGACTGTGTGAGACAGGAAGTTGGTGTAATTTTGCCTGTTCTTTTCCTTACTCAGGTAAAATGAAAGCTTGTGACCAACTTGGCAATGGAGAGTCTATTCAAACAGTAATAATGAAAGCACGGTGCAGCAGCACTACTCCATATCGTGTTCGGTGCCAATGTGACTCAATGTTTTCAACTGAACAGACATGATAGTCAGCAAATTACAGAGCTAAACATGGGCATCGGAAGCAAAAAAATAAATAAATAAAAATGTGGATGGGTCCTTCCCCAGAAAATTTTGACTGGAGTAAATGCTATTTCCTGTATTCTGGTGCTTTTTAATTAAACAGTTGCTTTTATAGCCTAAAACGGTTATGGATTTGAGAAAGCAGCAGCATGGAAGGCTGTAGCTGAAACGCGGAATGGTGTTTAATTTATTAGGGCATTCCTCAGGTGGAATGAATTTGAGTGGCGGAGCTCTGAAAAGTGAACAGACATATGCGTTAAAGTAGAGACGGAAAAAAGTGAGTGGGTTCAATATCATTGGTCTTAAAAATTGGGTGGGTCTTGTCCCACCCAGATACAATGGTTCTGATGCCCATGGAGCTAAACATACACTACTGTTCAAAAGTTTGGGGTTCAGTAAGTTTTTTACTATGGAAGAAATTAATACTTTTATTCAGCAAGGACACATTAAAATGATCAAAAGTGACAGTAAAGACTTTTATATTGTTGCAAAAAGATTTCTATTTTAAACAAATGCTGATCTTTTTAACTTTCTATTCATCAAGGAATCCTGAATATATCAAAGTTTCCACGAAAATATTAAGCAGCACAACTGATTCCAACATTGATAAGAAATGTTTCTTGTGGAGCAAATCAGCATATCAGAATGATTTCTGAAGGATCATGTGACACTGAAGACTGGAGTAATGATGCTGAAAATTCAGCTTTGCCATCACAGGAATAAATTACATTTTAAGATGAAAATAGATATATGAAAATAGTTATTTAATTAGAAAGCAGTTATTTATAATAAATTATTATATAATATAATATTTTATATTATTATTTAATATTGTATTAATTTTTAATATGCTACAATATATACTACACTACTTTATTGTAATAGTATTTCACAATATTATTGTTTTTTACTGTATTTTTGTTCAAATAAATGTAGCATCGATGAGCATAAGAGACTTCTTACAAAACATAAAAAAAAATGTATCAACCTCAAACTTTTGAACAGTAGTGTACATATAAAGCATTCATCAACAGAATTAATTAATAAATACACAAATAAAAACAAATAAAAGGAATAATAAACAAATACAGTATGGTCCAAAAGTCTGAGACCACACTGATAATCGGGAACTGAAAATTTGTAAAACCCGGAAACAATGTTTATGTTCAAGAAGAATACATTTTTTGAATGTAATTATGTCCATAAATGTATTAGGAATAGCAACACAAGATGTCATAAGAAAAAGAAAAAGGCAGGAAGCTGGGAAAATAAAATAAAAACATATATACACATATAGATACATACATATATATATACATACAGTATATATATATAATTTATTGTTTGAATTGACATAAATTTTGGTCCCACGTATACCGTGGTGCTTACTTGATTTGAATCTACATGTGGGTGGGGCATATGGGAAGTGGGAGGAGCATTTAAGGAATGAGGAACCAAGTACTCCTCAGCGTCCATCAGGTCATCCAACTCCTCTTCATCTAGAAGACTCAGGAAGAACTTACTGTGGTTGGGGCTGGGCAGCTTCATGCGATCATCGCCCTGAGATGACAACATAAAGTATTATCCACTGAGCTTCAGGAACATTTCAAATGTCCATTTCAAACAGAGAGAAGTTAGCAATCCCCACCTGTATGACGAGGTATCTCTGAGGGTCTCGTGCCATGTGGCTGAACTCTGCAGCGAGTTCTTTGAATCGAGGCCGACTATCAGCATCAATCATCCAGCCTGGAGGTGAAGAGGCCAACAATGTGTCAGAGATATACAACAAAATTCAACTTTTCAGGTAAAATCTACCTGAATATATGTCAGTGTGGTTTTACTGTGTTGACATTTTCATAAAACAAATAAATTATCTATATTTATATATGAATTTTATATTTTTAGATATATTGAGTTTGGCATTTTCTTGATCCCAATTTCTTAATTTCATTTAATTTCCCCTCCAATCACATATTGCACAAATGAAAAGCAATAAGTGGATTTCATGCAAGAATATCCCACTCTCTGAGGTGTTATAATTGTTATGTTGAATCAATGTGGCTTCCAGTCAAATCTGATTATGACAAACAGATTTAATCTTCATCTCTTTTCACTTCATTGTGGAACTGACTGTGCCAAGACAAATAGAAAGTGAGCGCATAATGAGAGCTTATGTGCTCAAGACAAATATACCAGTTATGATTTAGCTATCCCTTTTTACATTTTAAATGATGGCAAAAGTGCAAAGCATAATTGTATTAAAGGTGAAGTATGTAATTTCTCTGCCACCAAATGGAGTTAAAAAATAACAACAGGTTTCTGAAACACTTCCTCGATCATTGGTCAATAAAGATTAAAGCATACACTATGAGCAGATTAGAAAATCTCAGAATATGACTCACATTTCACCATCACCATGTAGACGTCTATGGTGCAGATGGGTGGCTGGGGCAAACGTTCGCCCTTCTCCAAGATGTCTGGAATCTCACGTGTGGGAATCCCATCATAGGGCTTTCCTCCAAATGTCATCAGCTCCCAGATAGTCACCCCTGAATGAATGTGAAACACATATTCCATCTCCAAAGCTCACTGTTAGCTAGCATGATGATAATGAAACTATAGTAGTGGATGTGAAACCTACAGAGTATGTGTTGTCTTCACCTATGTTTAACTTTCTTTATCTTGTAGAAAACAGTATCCCAATGTTGTGGTTTACAATAAGTAATGGGAACTATAAATGTCACTTTTTGCAGTTTTACACTGCTAAATCATGTGCTAATTTGCATTTACTCCTTAGAGTGCCCTTTGAGAAATAAATTAATATAAAAATTAAAATAATCAAAATAATAATTAATATAATATATATTATAACAAATATGCAAATAAATGATTTATACTAATAAATAATAAATAAACAAATTCATTAATTAATCAAACTAACACTAATATATAAAATAATAATACAAATAATATTATACAGTTATAAGAATATAAACATTAGAATTTTCTAGTAATTTAATCAGAAAAAAGAAGCAGTAAAACAAAATTTGCTTCACTGTGTATAGCTCACCATAACTCCATACATCACTCTGATGTGTGAACTTCCTGTAATGAATGCACTCCAGAGCCATCCACTTGATGGGCATCTAGAGTAGAAAATTACAAATTGGTTATGCAAAGAGCATTTCCATATCAACGGAACATGACAATTCAGATACTCAATACTTTAATTGATTTGGGGAAGGTATGAAATGAAACATTAACAGTCCCAATGAGAACCGTCAAACTTTGACTCAAACTCAAGTTCTTTACAAAGAAAAACTGCTAGCTAACACAAATTAATACTGCTGATTTTTCCATAAATCATCTTCAGATTTGATTCGCTTTTACCTTAGTGCATTTTGATGTTAAGAATTTCATTAGACAAATATGGATCAAGTTTCAAACACTGACCTTGCCTCCATCCGCACTGTACTCTTTTTCATTGGTTTCCAGCAGTCGAGCAAGTCCAAAATCAGTGATCTTGATGTGGTTTGGACATTTTACCAGGACGTTACGGGCTGCGAGGTCCCTGTGCACCAGCCGCCTCTCCTCTAGGTACATCATACCCTGCCGAAGAGGAGATTTTAACAATTATTATTGAATTACAGTAGTGGTTAATACCACACAGCAACAAGTAAAACAGATCATACACCATTAAAGTAAAGCTATTTTACCTCCCCTTTCATATAGACCACCACAATAGAAATACATCAGGGATTTAAACACGGCCCTGTCAAATTAGATTCCCTTCCTAAAGATAGACAGTAAATTAGTGGGACATCTAATCAAAATTTAAATGCCATCTCCTTATTTCTCTTTACCCATGTTCACTCCCATTTTGCTGCTTTGGGTCACTGTGCATTATTACTTACCTTAGTGCCTCTACAGAAGTTTGCCTATGATTTATGGCTTTATGTTAATCTTCAATTAAAAAGCAACTTCCTGGCCTTTGGGAGGAGAGGGGAGCTGTGCTGGAGGGGCTGCTGAACCTCCACTTATGCTTGAAGAAAATCACTGATAGTGAGGTTCAAGGAAATAGACCTGTGGGCTTTTTTTCTGGATAATGCTGAATGGAGCCATGAGAGAAATGACTGTGGCCGAATGACGGCTCTAAGAAGGACAACAACACTGGAATGGAGCATTGAGGAAGACGCTGAAGTGAAGCAGATGCTTGCAAACAAAATGGCAAGAATACCGGCCACTGGAAACCCACTACATACATAGTCATTAAAAAGTGTTTTGAGTTGTGCTGTGTAATTGCCAATTTTCAGCACAATTACACAATGACAAAATGAATATCCTGCCAGTATGTCAATGAATGAATAAAATGAGAAATGCCGGGCTGAAACACAAAAAGATTAAATTAAACAAACACAAGAAAGCATGATTTTTATTATTTTCATTCATATGCACCAATGGAACAAAGAATATGAATAAGCAGCAATACATACAATAGTGTTTAAAAGTGTGGGGCCAGTAAATTAATTATTTCATTCAGCAAGCATCCAATAAATATTATTATAAATATTAAATAAAATGTATAATATAAAATTAAAATAGAAAAATCATTTAAATGCAGTTAAATATATTAACAGTTACATTAATGCAGACTTGCACCTTACTGACCCCAAACTTTTGAAAGGTAGTGTATTTTTTACCAAAAATAAACATATATATATACATATGAAGAGTTCAGATGCAAAAAGCCTCTAAATGCCGTCTGAAATTTTCATCTAAAATGAGCATTTTTATCAGGCTCCTATATTTATGTTCAGTTATTTCACTTTAATTGCATAGAAAATGACATACATTGCCATTAGAGTAAAATTACTGAACCTAAACATAGGAGTCTGAGAAAAAAAATGCTCATTTTAGACAAAAATGTCAGATGGCACTTAGAGGCTTTTGCATCTGAACTCTTCATATATACACGCCACACAGAGACTTGTGAACATTGTAGGCTGGATGATTAATGCTGATAGTTCACATTGTTAACTCTGAATCAGAGTTATTAACTAAAACAATTCTAGTGCCATTTTTGCTATTGACACTGAGATCAAACATGCCACGAAATGTAATAATCAAATAAACAGTGTATTAAAATATATACAGTTATAATACCAATATTTAGTGCATTATGCAGCCCTCCTGGCAAGAGAAAACCATAAGTATTCTCATTTATCTCTGACAGTTGCAAAAATAATGCCCTGACATGCTTATGATGTTGACTGCATTTCATTCTTTTAAGAGCCTTTAAAAAATGGTTACTAGAAAAACATCTACTATACATAAACAAAACAAAAAAATTAAAAAGGTATGCCTATGAAAAAAGATGCTCTTTGCCTTCATAATGGTGCATTTAAAGCATTAACCAAGCACACAGCCAAACCCAGCCAAACCCCTTGACTAATTCACTACTTTCTGCGAGATGTCATTTGGTGACTTTTTCTTCCAGAGGCAACAGTTATTGCAGCCCAGAGCTACTTATACAGCTGTCTGAGAATTTATGTGAACACGCATGAGTCAGACAAGAGCCGAGTCAGAAACACTGTGTTAAAATACATTTTCTCTGTGATACAGGGAGAGACACTGACCCATCCATCACACAACGGCACCACAGACACTGCTTTGAGACCAGCTACTGCACACTTGCTACAATCTCTCGCATTCACTCTCTCCCTCTCTCAAATATTGTCACGCAGAGTGCACATAGAAGAAGAGGCACAACATATAATACAGAATATATTGAGCTGTCCATGTAGAACATAACATCTGTTTCAAAACCTATTGCACTGCTTTGTAGTGTACTAAATACATGCCTTGGCAGCATTTTCAATGTATATCTCATGTCAAGATGAGGCAAAATTTATTCTAATACAGTTTGACGTTTTGTTGCCAATGCTTTAACATACACAACCATTTCAAAGTTTAGGGTCAGTTGGATTTTTTTCTTTTTTCTTTTAAGAAATCAATACCTTTATTCAGCAAGGATTAATTAAAGTGATCAAATATAACAGTAAAGACATTTATAATGTTACAAACGATTTCTGTTTTAAATAAATGCTGAACTTTTAAACATTCTATTCATTAAGCAATCCTGAAAAAAAAAAAACATTTTAAGCAGCACAAGTGTTTTCAACATCGATAATAATAAGAAATGTTTCTTGAGCAGCAAATCAGCATATTAATATGATTTCTGAAGGATCATGTGACACTGAAGACGGGAGTAATGATGCTGAAAATGCATACACACATATAAACACAATTTTATTGACATAAAATTATCAGTACAATATATAAAAATCATTTTAATTGTAGATTTCAAAATGCTAAGATCTCACAGCTAATTTAAGTGCAGCAACTTAACATGGCATTTACAAGTTAATTCAAAACCAAAATAAAATATATACACAGTATATATATATATATATGTGACCCTGGATCACAAAACCAGTCTTAAGTCGCTGGGGTATATTTCTAGCAATAGCCAAAAATACATTGTATGGGTCAGAATTATTGATTTTTCTTTTATGACAAAAATCATTAGGATATTAAGTAAAGATCATGTTTAATTACGACATTTTGTAAATTTCCTACTGTAAATATATCAAAACATAAATTTTGATTAGTAATATACATTGCTAAGAACTTCATTTGAACTTTCAAGTAAGGACACAGCTGCTCTCATGAATGCTGTCCAAACACAAGTATCCAACAATCTTGAATCTTCCAATTTGATTTTTCATTCTGAGATCAAGAAAGCTGGATCTAGTGGAATTAGCATTCAAATGATGAGCTTTACTGCGGCTGGCCTCTAATGTTTCGTTCCATACAGAAGCTCTCTATTCCACCAAAGAGATGGGCTAGGCAGGGAGAAGCAGCCCTTTGTGTGTTCAGTTTGACTAAAGTCAGATTAAAGCAAGAGTAAACCCCGTCCATAGCTACCGGCGTTTAGTATTACAGGCTTCTTGCAGGCTAGTGCGAGGAGCAGGTCCAAGCGTTTATAATAAATGCTATAAAACACATACAATGCTTGTTGTTGGTTAATACTAGCTAATGCAATAAATAATGTTAACAAATGAGACCTTATTGTGTTACTGCAGGAAGTAAAAAAAAAATAAAAAAATCACTATGCCTGCATTGCTAGAGGGATTCACAAACTCTTTTCAGCCCTAGACTGCAGATCTACACGCACAACAACATCCGTTTCCTTGATGTGTTATGGAGGAGGAGGATAACAGGACTACATATTGTCTGAAAAGTTGTAGTGCGTGGGCAGCACAGGAGGTTCATCAGACAACATGGTATAATTTGTGATAAATACACAGGAGCAGTGTCCATCACACACTGCTGGAACAAAGACAATGATGACTAACTGCGTCATGGAGCACGAAGAAAAAACATTGATGTGCTATATCTCAAGCTGTCCAAAAAGATTCGTAAACATCATTTGTTATTAATGAAAATTCAAGACTAAACTTGCTGCTGTTTGTGTCATACATGATGAATCCATTTTTCAAGCATCACCATAAAATCAATTCCTTATAACCTTCATTCTTTTGCCGTCTATACTGGTGCATGCATACATCTCACTTTTGGTTTTCAGTTTTAATAGTACTTTACTGACATGACTGTGTTTTACATTGTTGCATTATAGACACACACACACACAAACACACACAAATATGTTATGCAACAGATTTTACACTCTCACAATCCTTTTTCCTTTAAACTACAACATGAAAAACAAATTAAATGTAAATTTAACGTATTATCATAAATTGAATGACAACACATCCAAAATATTAAATTCAGATTCTGATTTTAGACTGACAAAAAAGACACGCCTTGCTCAAAATGTCAAAGAAAGATGTTCACATAAAACTAGCTGGCTAAAGCACAGTTGGCTAAAGCCCAGTCAATCCTATGAGACTGAAATCAGATGACTGAATGGAAAAATATCTGCATAAAAATATTAGTATTATTTCAGTACTGGATCAAGATTTCTTCCTTTGCCCACATCTTCAAAAGCAAACATTACCAAATCATTCATGAGCACAGAGTCCCATCAGCTGCAGGCGGCTTGAATTAGCCCAGTTCACTCTAATCTATGATAAGGACACCTCAGCTCTTTTCATAGTCAACCATCTTGAAATGAATGATCCAATCAAACTTTCAATCCCCCAAATCCAAACTCCATATATCTATTAGTGCAGCGGATACCTTACAGTAATTGGAGGGTTTCAGAGGCTTTCTGCATTTTCCAGAGTTATCAGCAGGCTGAATGAAAGTGCTTGTTCAGCCTGGTTTAGGGATTGTTTGAGAGGTGATGGAAAAAGATGAATGCTGGCTTTTAACAGCACAAGCATTAAAAGGTGAATAAATAAATAAATAAACAAACAGAAAGACATATATATACAAACAATACATCCAAATTGAATTGAGGACAGACAAAGCAGAAAAGATGTTTGGGAGACCTGCTGCACCACTAGTGAGTTGCATTTGCTCAGCTAGAAAACAACATTCGCATTAGTGAAGGTCTTAAAGGTGACATATCATGAAAATCT